CTTCCTTCCTTCCTTCCTTCCTTCCTTCCTTCCTTTCTTTCTCTCTCTCTCTTTTTCTCTCTCTCTCTTTTTCTCTCTCTTTCTCTCTTTCTTTCTTTCTTTCTTTCTTTCTTTCTTTCTTTCTTTCTTTCTTTCTTTCTTTCTTTCTTTCTTTCTTTCTTTCTTTCTTACAGGGTCTCTCTGTTTTACATAGCCCTGCCTGTCCTGGATTCACTTGGAGGACCAGGCTAGAACTCGCAGAGATCCACCTGCCTCTGCTGCCTGAGTACTGGGGTTAAAGACCTGTACCACCGTGCCCGGCTATTCTTTATTTCCTAGTGTGATCAAATGACCAAGGCAGCTTATAAAGGGAAGGTTTTTGAGCTTATGGTTCCAGAGGAAGGTGTAGCAGCAGCAGCAGCTGAGAGGTCCATTTCCAAATGCAAGCAGGAAGCAGAGACTGAATGAGAAATGAGTTCACACTCTCAAAGCCTGGCTCCCGCACGCGTTCTCCAGCAAGGATGCAGTTCAGAGTGTTGGTCCAGCGGTGTGAGGCCCTGGCTCGCTCCCTGGCTGCTGTGATTGTGCACACAGGAGCCGTGGTGGTTTGAAATAGTCCACATAGTCTTGAGCATTTGTACACTGGGTCCCAGGCTGCCGGCACTCTCTGAGATGCGTCAGAGCATTTCCTGATCTTTCAGAGGACCAAAGTTTGGTCACCAACACCCTTGCCCGGAGGCTCACGGTCCCCAGTGACTCCATGAAATCCAATGCCCCTCGGAGCCTCTTCAGCTGCATGTATGCACACACACAAACTCACAGGTACACACATAAGCACACATTAACAAAATGCCCCCCAAGCACTACTGTAGCCAATCATATCATTCATATCTGTAATCCCAGCACTTGGAAGACTAAATTTGGGATAGCCTGGGTTTCATAGTCCTGGGCTATCCTAGCTACAAAGGGAAGAGAGGGTCTCTTCAGCTACAAAGGGCTTCTGAGAGGAGTCTGAGCCATGGGAAATCCTGTCACAACAGAAAAGTGCTGTGCTGCCACAGCAGCCAGAGTAACTGACAGCACCTACCTGCATGCACCAAGCCCTGGATTCCTGCACAAAGAGCCCAGGATGGGGCAGGAATCCAGGCATGGTGGCGAATGCCTGTGATCCAGCAATCAGGGAGTGCTGGTGAAGATCAGTCACCTGAGGTCATTCTCGCCAACATCGACAGTTTAAGGATGGCTTGTGGTATTTGAGACCCTGAGCTAAATGGAGGGAGGGAGGGAAAGAGAAAGCACTTGAGAACTCCCTGGAAGGCAGTGCTGCAGATCTGCTGTTTCAGGGTGGCCTGGCATTACTGTCTTTTGCCCCATCTTGTGTGTTCTGAACAAACCTGCAGCCTGTCGTGGAACACAAAGTGGAGCATGTCCTGGGAGGTCGCTCTCACTAGCACCCTAACAGTGTGGCCACCAGGCGCCACACGGGTCCCCAGACACTGGCTAGCTACACATGGGAAGGCCCAGCCTCCTTCGTTCTCAGCTCTGCTCTGTTTACGTCCTCTGATCTGAGGAACTCAGAGCTCAGTGGTCAAGAGGCAGAATCACTTTATCCCGGGTTCTTGCACGGCTTGTGGGAACCGACCGCCAGGCACTGGCAGCCAGGACTGGGGCCTAGGGAAGGCACTTGCTGAGGGCAGACCAAGATAGGGAAAAGTAGCTGAGGGAGATGGCGCTGAAGAGTCTGTGCTTCTTAGAGCTCAGGCTTCCGGCTGAAGTGGAATTCTTGTTTAATTTTAAAAGTTCACATCTGTTTGTTTATTGTATGTGTTGGGGCGCGGTCTGTGCGTGCTACAGGATTCAGCTCTCCTCTTCTACCAAGAGGGTTCCAAGGATTAAACTCAGGTCCTAAGGCTTTACAGCAAGCGAGTTACCATCTTGTCAGCCCCCAAACAGTATTTTTAAATTTTTCATTATTAAAGGCTGGAAAGATGGCTCAGTGGTTAGGAGTGCTGGCTGTTTTTCCAGAGGACCTGTGTTCAGGTCCCAGCGCCCACAATGGGCCTTAGAACTGCCTATAGTTCCAGCTGTAGGGGATCTGACCTGACATCCTCTTTTAGCCTGTGGGGCACCAGCCACCCATCTGATACACAGACATACACGCAGACAAAACAACCCACACACATAAATAAATATAGTAATTTAAACTATTCATTAACATTTGAATTACTAGCTGGATGTGGCGAATGCCTTTAATTGCAGCACCCAGGTCTATATAGTAAATTCCAGGGCAGGCAGGGCTACATATGGAGGACCCTGTCTCAAAAAAATATCATTGTATGGGTGTGTGTGCGTGTGTGTGAGTGTGTGCGTGCCTGTGCCTGAGTGTGTAGTCAGAGGTGTTTTCCTCTGTCACTCTCTGCCTGCCTCCTTTGAGACAGTATCTCTTGGTGACCTGGAGGTCACTGTTCTTCCGCTGGGTTAGCACCCAGCAAGCCCCAGTGGTCCAGGCTCCAGAACCTTCCACACCAAGCTGACAGGCACACATGTCTGGGCCCAGCTTTCGGTGTGTTCAGGGATCCAAAGTTAGGTCCTCATGCTTACACACCGCAAGCACTCCTGCTCACGGCGCCTTCCCTCAGCCCTAGAACTGGATCATACAAAGTGGAGCAACCATGGAAGTGTAAGCAGGCAGAGACTGTGAGGTAAGCCAAGAGCCCACCAGGGGCCAGGCAGCCATAGTAACCAGCCCAGCGTTCCTCTCCCATACTCCCAAAGCTGCCTCTTCCTGCTGCCCTCTCCCCACTCTGTGCTGAAGAAAACAAGGCCAGAGTGTAAGGTTCTCAGAAAAGGAAAGCGTCTGTCCTCCTCTGCAGGAAGCTGGGTGAGCCTTAGAACCAAGACAGGGGCCACCAAAGAGTGCGCCTGCTCCCACTCTGCCCTGGCCACGGCAGGCCGAGCACACGGGGCAGCACTCCTGCCCCTCAGTGTCCCTACCCCCAGAGGGGCAGACCCCGGCTGTGGAGCTCAGTCCAGCCTGTGCCCCAGGGAGGTGGAACAGGAGCTGAGGGGCTGCCTCTCCCCTCAGCGGGAGTGGCCCCCCACGCGGAACAAACAGAAGGTCTGCGCCTTCTAACCTTTGCCTTCTGGCCGTTGCCTGGATCAAAACAGAAAGGGCAGCTCCATGTTCTGGTGGACTTGTGAAAACGGGCACAGAGGACACAGCACCCCGGGGCTTCCCTCACCCCGACCCCTGGCAGGGCTATGCTGTGGACCTGACAAAGCAGGAGGTGCCAGTGGAGGTTGGAACATGGGCTGGCTCACCAGTGGGGCCCGTAGCAGGAGCACAGGAGCCAACATCCCCTAAACAGAACTGGATTCCCCAGGGAAGTCAGCATCTCAGCAAGGAGCAGTGGGCAGCTCCAGGAGGGACAGTGGGTGCCAGACAAGAGACCAGGTATAACCCAGAGGACAGAGACACTGTGATTGGCTGCTTCCAGAGAGGGGCTTGGCTTCTTGGCCGGTGATCTGCAGGTAGGAGGTGAGGGTTAGACCATGGGTAGGAGGCTTAGTCCTGGCAGGGCTGGTCTAGGGGCAGGAGAAAGCCAGTTCCCATCCTGAAAGCCACAGCCTCTGGGAGAAATTTCTAGACAGCAACGCAATACAGAATGTGGAGAAGCCAGACAAGGGGGGAGCCAAAAGCACCCTTGGGAGTTTCTGGTCCCAGGGTCACTGGGCAGGAGGGGACACGAGGCAGCAAAAGGCGGCTGGAGGGCTCACAGGGGGAGCAGCGGAGTGGGGGAGAAGTCCCCTCCAGGGCTGCGTCTAGGGGTGAAAGGGGCATGTGGCTCAGAAAAGGAGGCACCAGGGAAGGGAAAATCTGTGCAGACGGAGAGGCCAAGGTCAGCTTAGGGGCTATGGGATGAGCAGTGTCGGAGTGGGCTCACTGGCCTCACTCCTGAGGCCCACAGGAGATGTGACCTGGCAAACCTTTCAGAGCCAGCCACCACGCCTGTAAACCCAGCACTTGGGGAGGCAGAGACAGGCGGATCTCTGTGAGTTCGAGGCCAGCCTGGTCTGCTAAGTGAGTCCAGGACAGCCAAGGCTACACAGAGAAACCTCATCTCGAAACGACGTCTCCCCCCACCAAAAGAAGAGGCCCTCTTAGAGGATCACCCTGTCTGAAACCTGCAGAGCCCCCCCCCCCCCCCCTACCCTCCCCATCTCTGCTCCTCCCTACGGTGCAGGTGTGACTGCAATAGTTTCACCCAGGAGCCAGACAGATGGGGTTAAGTAAGAGACTTAATCCTTCCGGAAGGTCAGGACTGGAACCTGAACGTGGGACCCCAGGACAGAGGACAGTGGAGGAGAAAGGGCAGGATGAGTCACACCCGCTCGCTAGTTCCCCTGGGGAGCTCGGACCACCAGGATCAGCACCTGCCGGGTCAAGATTCACCCACGGAGGTCTCTGAGGTCCAGGGTGTGCACGATTGGATCCGCGGGGTTACACACACCCGGTGAGGGTCCCGGGAAGGGACCCGTGGGGTCGGAGTCCGGGTCAGGGCCTGTGCTGGGCTCTGTGTGCCAGAAGGGAGGGGGAACGGGCGCGCAGGATGCAAATCTGCAGAGCAAGCGATGCGCAGAAGAGATACCGGGTGACTCCGAGAGGGTCTGAGGCTCGGCAGGTCAGGCGCGGACCCTTGCTCCCCCTCCCCCGCCGCCGCTCCCGCCCCCGCCCCTCCCCCGCCGCCGCCGCCCAGCGTCGCTGCCGGAAAGTTTGCGAGCGGCTGGCGCGGAGCCGGCGCCGACCCCGGTGGCGCGCGGCGGAGAGCAGCAGCCGGCGGCGCCCAGAGTTGAGCGCTGTCGAGGACCACGAGCGGCGCAGCCCAGCCCCGGAGCACGGTGAGCATTAGCGTCGCCCCGAGGGGACGGCCCAGGCGGTCAGGGGACGCTGGAGCACGGAGTGACCAGGGCGGGAGGAGCAGGGGAGTGGGCAGCTGGCCCCTGCGTGTCCCCCGTCGAACACCTCGGGGGATGTGTGTCACCGTTAGAGTCACCTGAGCCCTAACCGTCTCCGACAGGGTCTTAGGCGTTCCTTCTTTCTGTTCTCTGGGAACGCAATCCCGAAGGCACGGCAGGTGGGGGCAGGTGTGGCCCCGCGGTCCCCCTGAGCACCCACCGTCCCTCCCGGGGGCTCGCTCGTCCCCTCCCCGAGGACTCCCTAGCTGTGACCCAGGCTTGCCGGGAGGTGTGCAGGCAGGGCGCATGAAGGGCGATTCTCCCCAGCTCACAGTTGTTTACCCAGATCCCCCGAGAGCGAGCGCAGGTCGCCGCCTCGTGCTGCTCCTGGCACCCCAGCGGCCCCCTCCCACTCCAGACCCACAAAGTTTTATGTCGCGAGCGGAATCGGCTGATCCCTCACCTCTTGGCTCTGGCATCCTGCGGGGATCGGAGCGGGGATACTTTTCTGTCCTTCTGTCTTGGAGACATAGAGGGGAACCCAGAGCTCACCCTAACTGGTGAGGGCTGCCCGCCCCCTTTCGGAGGAGGCTTTGTCAGCAGCTTGTGGCCCCTGCTCCGGCCCCTGCTCCTGCCCCTGCTCCTGCTCCTGCCCCTGCCCCTGCTCCTGCCCCTGCCCGGGGCTGCGACCTGGCTTAGTTTCTCTGTTTTGACCGATACCCTCTTCCAGCTGATAACTTTAGGGATTACCTCGCCAACGTTGGCGCCCACTGACCCAAGAGCAGCCCCTGTAATGCCTCCCTCGGCCGCTGGGCCATCCATCTGACCCTCAGCCACCCGCACAGAAAATCTGTGCACAGGCAAACACCGAGTGTCCTTTGTCCTGTTAGAGCCTGCTGGGAGCAGTGATGGCATGGGGCAGTGCCAGTCCGGTGGCTGGTGTGCCAGATGTGCGCTGTGGAGAAGGGGACACAGGCAAGAGCCTGCTCTAAACACAAGACAGGCTCCCGTCTTAGGAATTCAGACTCCCGCCGTCCATGTTCCCCTGCAGCTGGGCCTCACAAAGCTGGAGACCTGAGATGGATTTCAGCAGCTTGCTCCAGGGTGGGAGGAGGGTAGGGTCCCTGTCCTCTGTCCCTCTACCCCATCAGGGAGGGTCACAGGGCGGAGAAAGGGTTAGACCTGCAGCTCCAGCACAGCAGCTCCAGGGCAGCGCACACACTGAAGCCTGTCACCCCAGGGCTAGGCCTGAGCTTTCACTGGATGATATTTATCAGTGCTGATGGGCCCCACTGTGGGGTACACAGCCTGACAGTCCTATCCCACAGATGACAAAGCCCGGCGCCACCCAGAGGCCCATTCCCTGTCAGTGAGAGGGAAGGGCGCCCTGTTGGTCTTCCCTGCCTTCAGCCTCATGCCCAGGGCTCTCTGCTGACACCCCAGAGTCTCATCCTTGTGTGCCTGAGAATCAGCCCTTATCCTTACTCCCCTACCATCCACAGGAACAGAACGTTCACCTGTTTCTGCCAGAGACCCAGTTGGTGGTTACTGAGCCTGCAGTAATCCAGCCCTGAGTGTGTCTGAGCCCGCCCGCCCGCGTCTCAGCACTAAACTGTGTGTGCGGAAATCCTCAGGAATCCGTCTCCCCTTTGTTCTTATGTGTTGTTGGTTGGTTGGTTGTTCGAGACAGGGTTGCTCTGTGTTGCCCTGAGCCCCAAAACTCGGAGGTCTGCCTCCCTCGTGCCGGGCCAGCGCCTCCTGGCCATTGAGCACATTTCCAGCTCTGAGGCAGAGCTGGGTAATGAGGACTGTCCTCCCCTACTGGCCTGACTGACGCTGGCCTTGGACCAGCGTCCTTCCTCACCAGGCCCCTCACCTGTAACTCCATGATCGATCCACCCATGCTGGCCATCCTTGCCACTCTCACGCTGCCCTGAAAGCCTTCCCATCTGTACCCTTCCTCTCTCAGGGCCTCTGGGAGACCCCGTGGGGCAGGCACAGCGGGTGAAGGGCCAGTTTGTATTCTGGGCTCCCTGTATCCAGCCCACAAGTGCCCGGGCAGCAGCAAGCCAACGGGGACGTTTGCTTGAAATCAGGAGAGTGAGGCTGCTTGGAGACCCCAGGGATGCGGACCTGCCTCTCCCCTCAGCCTGTTGGCTGCTGTGTTCCTGGCAGCCACCCTCTACTCTCTGGGTATTTTGCCTTGAGTTTCAGGCACCACAGACCCGAAACTCCTTGCTCTTGAGCAGGGCCTGGTGGCCAGGGGCTAGACTCAGGAGTCCCATAGCAGGTTGTGACCGCTGTGACTGCTGTGGGCAGACAGAAGGGAGCACTATTGAGCTGTTGCCTCTAGAACAAAGCTGGACTTAGCTGAAGCGCAGGGGTCCTCTTCTGCCAGCTGGGACCTGCAAGTGTCTCCTCCTTAGCCATAGCCATCCTCCTCTCTTCTCATCTCCACCCTCCCTCCACTTCCGCCTTCTGAATGCCAGGACTGTAGGCATGTGCCGCCATCCCTGGCTATATATTTTATGTTCTGATTGTGGATACACAGGAGAGGCCCCTCAAAGCTCTGGGAGCTCAAAGTTCGACCTCCCATTGCCCTGAGAAGCTCTTCTCTCTTCTCCCATGAGAATCCATCAGAGCCCAGAAGGGTTCTGAAGTGCGTGGGGCTGATGTGCGTGGTTACTACTGCCCTGGCCCTGGCATTCCCACGTCCTGCAGGAAACCTCAGGCAGAGGGGCCCTCATTTGGGCCCTGGCAGTAGTGGTGCTAATCTCAGAGGAATGTCCTGCCAGCTAGCCCATGGCATCCCAAGGGACCCAGAGGCCTAGCCTGAGAGCCTTGTCCAAGGCCCACTGCATTATGTGGGCATACTGACCCTGAGGAAAGGGACACAGGGTGGCAGAGATTGCTTGGGACCGCCCCTCCTACACCTGGCAGACTAGGAACTGCTCTGGAGCGAGGGCCAAGGGCAATGGGCCTGGGTACCTGCAGGGCCTTATCCTGTGTCACAGCGCCCGGCCAGTCAGCCTTCCTCAGGGCTATGAATAGGTGGGGCGGTCTGGGCCCCGCCAGGCAGCACGACTGAGGGAGGAGGGGGTAGCTGAGGGGTTGGTGCTACTCTGAGAGTTCTGGGTGGCCAGATGGGAGGTGACTGCGCTGAGCCAGCCACCCCTGGGGACGGGGAAGTGGCAGCCCACAGCCCCCTCCGCAACCTCAGCTATCAGGAGGCTGCAGGCTCAGAGGCCTGGTGACAGGGGACAGGATCTCTGTAGGCTCTCTCCAGACGCTACCATTCTGGCTCTCTGCAGCCCGAGGAGGACTGCGCATACCCCAAGGAGCCAGGCGCTCATCCCCTGCCATATGTGGGGGCTGGCTACCCAGAGGCATGCCCCTCACCCGGCTCCACTGTGCCCACCTGCTGCTGCTGTCATGGCTGGTGAGTGCCGAGCACCCCATACCCCTCTCGGGGCGGGCGGCCCACTCTGCACAGAAGTGCTGATAGCCCCCTGTCCCTCCTAGGCACGAGCACCCTCAGCCCAGGTGATGGACTCCCTGTTTGAGAAGTGGAAGTTCTACGGTGACCAGTGCCGCCACAACCTGAGCCTGCTGCCTCCGCCCACCGGTGAGCCCCCGCTACAGATGCCCGTGCCCGCCCTCTGCCCGAATGCACAGACCTGAGGGGCGGGAACAGTAACGCTCAGTGGCTGTTTCGTGCCAGGACGCCTGCCTCCAGTCAGGAGACAACAGAAATGCAGAGCTGGGCCACAGCTGGCACGCTGCGCTGTCCTCCCTGCTGTGGGATGCCCCATTCCCAGCCAGCGATGCCCTGCCGTCACCACTCACACTGGGTAGTGATAGGGACTGGGTGGGTGTCAGGGAGAGTGGGTTCATACAGTGGAGGGAGTGCCAGGAAGACAGGGAAAGATGGAGGGCCTATGGGCGGAACGGCCTGGAAGGGTTGCCAACATCTGGCAAGGAATGTACTTCCAGGTGGGAGGAGCCAGGGAGATGGCTCAGCAGAGAAGCCGCTGCTGGGACCCACGTGCTGAAAACAGATAACTGACTCTTACAAGTTGTCCAATGACCCCATATACCTGTAAGCACACAGGTGTGCTTCTGGGTGCGAGTACATGTGCACACTCACGATAATACAGAAGTACACGTAAAAAACCAAAAACAGTAAAAAAAAAAAAAAAAAAAGGCAGAGGGTAAAGACTCAAAATGGTCTGGGGGCACATTTGAGATGGGGGGTCTCAGAGGAAAGGTACCTCGGGCAAACTCAGATGTTGTCTGGAGTCCAGGAGGCAAGATAACTGGCCAGAAAAAGCCCCTTGCTGCCCCGGCCAGGGAGGCAGCCCTGTGAGGCAGCTCAGTAAGACAATGGTGATGCCCAGGGACCTTCCGGCCCTGACGTGGAGCCCCCCCCCCCCCGCCTCACAGAGCTAGTGTGTAATAGAACGTTCGACAAGTACTCCTGCTGGCCCGACACACCTCCCAATACCACAGCCAACATTTCCTGCCCCTGGTACCTGCCTTGGTACCACAAAGGTAAGGCTGGGAGCCGGGGAAGCTGAGGGGCGGAGCCTAGGGGTGGGCTGACCAGAGCTTGCACCCTGTCCCAGTGCAGCACCGCCTGGTGTTCAAGAGGTGTGGGCCTGATGGGCAGTGGGTCCGAGGGCCACGGGGGCAGCCGTGGCGCGACGCCTCCCAGTGTCAGCTGGACGAGGAAGAGGTCGAGGTCCAGGTCAGCTCTGGAGGGCAGTGTCACACGGGGCTGGGCGGGGCTTGGGGGGGCACTGCCCAGCCCCGCTCTGCTCCTGGTTTGCAGAAGGAGGTGGCCAAGATGTACAGCAGCTACCAGGTGATGTACACTGTGGGCTACAGCCTGTCCCTGGTGGCCCTGCTCCTCGCCCTGGTCGTCCTGCTGGGCCTCAGGTACACTGCTCCGCTCATGCTAACGCCCAATGTGGCAAGGGGAGCGGAGGGACAGGGCAGGCGTGGCGCTGACCTGCTGTCGTCTAGGAAGCTGCACTGCCTCCGGAACTATATCCATGCGAACCTCTTCGCAGCCTTTGTGCTCAAGGCCGGCTCTGTGCTGGTCATCGATTGGCTGCTCAAAACACGCTACAGCCAGAAGATTGGAGATGACCTCAGCGTGAGCGTCTGGCTCCGTGATGAGGTGAGCCTAACCTTGTTGCTCACCAGCCTGTGGGGGGGTGGTGTCAAGGACCCCCTCATGCTTCATGTCGTACAGGCGGTGGCCGGCTGCCGAGTGGCCACGGTGATGATGCAGTACGGCATCATAGCCAACTACTGCTGGTTGCTGGTAGAGGGCGTGTACCTGCACAGCCTGCTGAGCCTTGCCACCTTCTCCGAGAAGAGCTTCTTTTCCCTTTACCTGGGTATTGGCTGGGGTGAGTAGGTTGTGGGGAGGATGGGAAGGGAGCTACCCAGGGCCATGAGGCCACAGCTGCTGCTTTCCACAGGTGCACCCTTGCTGTTCGTCATCCCCTGGGTGGCGGTGAAGTGTCTGTTTGAGAACGTCCAGTGAGTATGGGTTAAATAGGACCGGCTGGGGCGGCTGGGGCGGCTGGGGCTGGTCTTTGTAAAGTGACCCTGGGCAGGAGGGAGATGGGTTGAGGGTCGCACCTTGGTCAGAGGTGTAAATCCAGGGTTGGGGCCTGGGGTTCACTGAAGCCCTCTCCTTGACTTTTGGGAGGCAGTCAGGAAACCTCCAGCAGATACGGGGAGGGGCTGGGAGGCTGCATGCATCTCCAGGATGTGAGCAATTGGCCCCTGCAGGTGCTGGACCAGCAATGACAACATGGGCTTCTGGTGGATCCTGCGAATCCCTGTCTTCCTGGCTATACTGGTGAGGAGACACGGCCCTGCTCCCCTCAGCAGGCAGAGGAGCCCTGGCTCGGCGTTCCCAGCTCTCCCTTCCGCAGCCATCTCAGAGGATGGAGGGTGGGGAATCCCAGCACTTATCCCAGAGGCAGCGCGCCCTGGGCTGCGCACCAGGCTGCCCATCCTTGGCTGGTGCCTGCCAGCCCCAGGCCCACTTGGCAGTAACTTTGCCTGTAGTGGGTGCATACGAGGAGTGTGCAGGGCCTGGGAAGCTCTTAGGCTGCCCCTGACCTTTGTCTTCCTCACACAGATCAATCTCTTCATCTTTGTCCGTATTCTTCACCTGCTTGTGGCCAAGCTCCGAGCCCGTCAGATGCACTATGCGGACTACAAGTGCCGGTGGCCAGGGCGGGGCCAGGGCGGCGAGGGCGGGGCCAGGGCCAGGGCCAGGGCGGCGAGGGTCGGGGCCAGGGCCAGGGTGGCGAGGGTTGGGGCCAGGGCCAGGGCCAGGGCGGCGAGGGTCGGGGCCAGGGCCAGG